TTTTTGCCGAATTGAACCAAATTTTCGAGTTTATGATTCAAACTCGGATAAACTCAAATAATTTCGGATATATTGGTTAGTTCGGTTTATCATTGCGATTTTGCTATAGTATAACCGGGAAAATTTGATTAAATGGGCCAGCTTAAACAAGAAAAAAACAAGAACGAATTATTGGGCCTTCGATTAATTTGATGTTGAACGATTCTGTTTGTCTTCGTTAACCGTTCGATTTTATTGAACCGAACCTAAATAACCTTTTATTTTTTGCCGATCGGTTCAACGTCTATAACCGAATTAATTAAACATCGGTTCGATTCAGTTCCAAAAGTCTGGCTCGGTTTATAATCGCCGGCCAGTTCTCTCTAACTTTTTTAATTGGTTTTGATAGTTCATTTTCAAGCTCAATATTTGATGTATTACATTCATATTCTCTCTTAATCAAATAACGCACGTTTCCTGAATGTTTTAGATTCAATTCATAAACATACAACATAAAATAACCAAAGCCAATGAAAAATAGAATGGTGATTTCCAAAAAAACCAGTCACACCCTAGAGACAAAAGAAGCCACAACTCTCCTCTAACATAAGCTAATGAACCTCTTTCAAAAGATGGCTTTAGTTTAAGTACACACATCTAACTCCTTCCAAAATGTAGAACTTTTCTTACCTGCAATTAGGTGGAAACTATTTTGTTCGCAAGCTTTGAGGAGAAAGCGAGCTTCTTGATATATAACTGCACCTCTTCAACAAGCAATGCCTTCCATTCACCACTTAACTCTTTTCTTTTCTCATCTTTAAGGTTCCTCAAATTGTGAAGTAGCAGCTTCTGATGGGTTTTACCTAAAGTTGGAAACAATATCGCCTCAAACGCGTCCTGCAGAACACAAAACTCATCCACACCATCTTCTTCACTCTTCTTCTCTTTCTCACCATCATCAATCTCCATACTTATGTTACTCACTCGCTCATGCTCCCCACAAGACACATCCTTATCCAAAACAAGAACCTCTAAGATAATGTTTTTGATGGTAATAAGAAGATTGGTAAAACATAACAAAAATACTCACTACTTTTTCTTGATCCATACTCTCATTAACCTGCTCATCATGCTCCGCATAAGACACATCCTTGTTCAAAACAAGAACGTAAAGATCGTTACTCATTAGTAATATCAAAATTTACATAATGTTAGAACAGAACGAACACTCACTACCTTTGCTTGGTCCACATTCTCATTAATCTGCTCAGGCTCCACATAAGGCACATCCTTATTCAAAACAAAAACATAAAGATCATTACTCATTAGTAATATCAAATGCTACATAATGTCAAGACAGCATGAACACTCACTACTTTTGCTTGTTCCATACTCTCATGAACCCGCTTATGCTGCACATAAGACGCATCCTTATTCAAAACATGAACGTAAACATCATTACTCATTAATAATATCAAAATTTACATAGTGTTAGAACAGAATGAACACTCACTACTTTTGCTTGGTCCACATTCTCATTAACCCGGTCATAAGGCACATCCTTAATCGAAACAAGAATGTAAAGATCATTATTCGTTAGTAATATCAAAATTTACATAATGTTATAACTTCTAACACAATGAACACTCACTATCTTTGCTTGGTCCGCATTCTCATCAATCCGCTCATGCTCCACATAAGGCACATCCTTATTCAAAACAAAAAACTTTTAAGGCCATTACACAACAGTAATATCAAACTTTACACAATGTTTTGAGACGGTAAAACAGAAGGAACACCCACTCACCTTCCCTTGGTCCAAATTCTCATTAGAACCAAATTCTGTTTCATTTTTAGTGGCCCATATGATCATTGACAATTTGAAGATTTCATCGTCATCGGTACTAGTAAAGGAAGGTCCTTTACCATCTTCAGATTTAGCAATGTTATCTGTGAATCTCTTCTTCAAACCCCTGATCTTATCTGTGAGCTGCTTCTTAGAGAATTTTGAATCAATGGAACCTTTGATAAACTTGTATAAAGCATCCCAATCATCTTTGTAACTCAATTCCTTTTCAATTTCATAGTCCACAATACCCTTTTTCCACATCAAAAGTAAACAAAACAAAAATTGAAAAACAGAGTAAACAAAGATTATGAGAATTAGACATTAAAGATAGAATTTTCACAAACCGCGAGAATGAGGAGTTCGTCGGTTCGAGTCCAGATCATCTTTGAAGAAGAGGAAGGTGATAAAAATGTCGTCTTTAATCTCTTTCTCCTCGTGAGCATCGCCTTTGGACCGGAGACTACGTTGTTGTCGTCTTCTTCATGCTTCCTCGTGAGAGGAGAAGACGAAGGTATAAATTTGCCGTTGTTGTATCGGATTTCGTAGCAATCCGAGTTTGAGTCACTGGAATTCATTGGTGATCAATGATTAAAACTTTGGATTTGATTCATAAAATAAAAAAAAATATATCAAATTTTGGCATGGTTTTAGAAATATAAATAGAACCCTAGTTGCAAAGCGTCCTAAAACCGTAAATGACTAAAACACCCTTTCCCACATTCAAGGAGGAATCAAGTTAATCCCCAAACCCTCTGTAATTTTCATTTTTCTTTAACATTGTGCAGTGCCATTGGTTTCTTGATCATCCTTTGGGGTTGAAAATGTAAACAAGGAAAAGTTTGTGGTCTCAATTACAATAAAGAACATTCTTCATAAGGGCTCAAGAACCAGAATCTGCTTATTTTTTTGTCTACCAGAGTTTCAGTTCTGGTCTTGATTACTTTGGCTAATGATGTTTTTCAGGTTACCTTTTTGACGACAGAATTAAGAAAAAGGTCTTAATGCTCCTCTTCTCTTGTTAACCTCAAAGATTACATAGTGTCTTGAAACCTTACATGACTTCAAAAACTCAAAAAATAGTTTAATAATTACAATGCAAAGATATATTTGATCTTTTATTTCTCAAGATAATATATTCACACAAGGAGTGTGTGTTTTTTGGGTCTGGGACCAACTGTACAAAAAGGAGGATCAGATGGGGTCTTGGTTAAAGAGGTTATAACCTGAAATCAGGGAACTGAAAGCAAAGGCAAGGAAGGCCAAGAAAGACATAGCAATCGAGGCAGTCGCCATCTCTGTGAACCCGTCTTTTCCCCAGTTTGAAACCCAGTCGTCAACACGAGTTGCTGCGGCTGTTGAGGCACATATAAGCAGATATGCAAGTACCTGATAGCAAAAACAAAAAAAAAAACAAGTACTTCCAGCTTAGAGCACAAACCGTTCTTATTCATAGCTAGATGTGAATTGCAATATGCTTTTGAGATGTTCTGCAGGAGACTAAGAGAGCTTCCGATTTTCGAAAAACTTTATAGAGATTTCAATTCTTTAATGAATTCTCACCGTTTAAACCTAACTATTAGAAAACCCCCTTTAAACTTAAAACTAAAGCATGAGGAAAAAGTAGATAAGTGTAACTATATTGGCCTTTAATCACTAAATCTTTTCTTTGCTTCACAGGTGACAGTGTAACACAAGGTGAAAATGCAAGTCAAAGTATCAGGAGTTATCTTTATCACCGAGGAGGCACAACCAAGTCGATCATAGAAGAGAAAACAGAACAAAGGACTACCATAGAGAGATCTTCAGAACAAAGGACTACCATAAAGAATGCAAGATAAGGCTCTTTAGAATGAGGAACGACATTAAGTTAATGACTTGCCTGATCCATGATGAACTCAAAGAGAGGTCGAAGGTGGTGGCTGATCAAGTGCTTCTCTTTGACAAGATGGTAAGCTAAGTCACATGCTTGAAAACTAGAATATACAAAAGCTACCACGTTCACGGACAGACAAAACCTGTCACAATATCAGAAGATGACAATAGATATCAGTTTGATATCAAACTCAAAACACCATCAACCGACTTCAAGTGTTGGAGAAAGACACCAAAATCTACAACCTAAGACCTTCACCAAGTTCAACCAAAACATAGAAACTCCATAGTTCAAGTGATTGCATACAATAAGACCAAAAAAGCAAGCTTTGAAGACAATTCACAAGTATTAAAGCAATCAAATACCCAACACTAGTGATTCAGCTTAAACATTGCAAACCCATAAACCCTAAACTAAACCCTGAAGCCAGATTCAAGAATAAACCCTAAACAAAACCCTGAAGCCAGATTCAAGAACATCACCAATCTGACAAGAAGAAGCACACACAGACACAAGAAATCATTACCTGTACTCCTTGTAACGGTCGAAAGAATCACCACTCCAACCTTGTGTTTTATCAGCAGCCATGATAGAGAAAGAAATCAAGGCAAGAACAAGCTCACTTAGCCGAAACCCTAAAGCTGAAAACTTTACTACCTCTTCCCTCTTAGACCTTCTCAAAATAGCTAAAACAGCTCCTGATCGTTGACCACTGCTTCTTCTACCGGAACCCACACGCGCGCTCTTCCTTGTCGGAACAGCTTCTTTAACAGAGA